ATAAACCAGAATCTTTTGCTAGGGGAATGAAAGCAGGGCAGGGTACCTGCTAGGATACTGAACCGATGCCAAAGAGCCACCATGAGTAGCTGGAAAGATAAGCATATACAAACCCTTTCGATATTTTTCAAAGAACTTTGCAGTTCTCGTTCTAAAAATAAAAAGTGGCTTGAGGCATCTTTGCAAGATCTGCGTGTTGTGTGCTTTGGCAAACGTATTACAGGGACAGTGTCACTGTTCAAATTTTAAGTGTTAAAAACCTAGGAAGATTTCATAACAAGTGAAATGAAATCAAAGCACCTAAAGGAACAGGAACACCCAACAAGCTTATTGAGTATGCCACGTCAAGACGCCTTAGGTCTTCTATATGGTTACAATTCAAAGTAGTCTTATACACAAATGAATTCTGAGACGAAAAAACATAAGCGGAAACCTTCCCTCTGCCTCATAGGAACACCTAGTAGGAAGCATACAGTTACTAAGTAAAATACTGGTTATGAAAGTTTCATATGGGATAACAGGTCCTCCCTCTTTCCTTCTCATTCTGCCTCCTCAGTAGAAAGGGCAGAATCAAGGTCATTTGCACGCTATTAGCTGTCTTGACAAGTAACTGAAATATGCCTTAATTTCTTAAGTTTAACCTTAAAAATCCCAGTTTTGAGATAACTCAAACATTCCTGCAACTTGTAGTTTACCCAGGCTCACCACTATATACACCAGCTTTTTGTGTACTAGTGTATGTTTTAGCTTGAAATTCTCAGAGTAACAACTCCGTAGCTGAGGGTAACAGCTAGAATTCAGTTGCCGCAAGGTCACAGGCAGCACAGATAACACCAAGAAACTGAAAGCCACCTTTGATCTTCTACTTATCCTATTTCTCCTCACAAGCAACATAAGACACATCCACCCTGACACCTGTCCTGGATAAAGCGCTCCATTAGAGAAGCATAGCATGCCATTCGGGATTTGGATGATATACGAACGTGAGCGTGATTTTCATGGAAAAGCCAATTGTCCAGCTAAGGGAAACATTCACTTAAACGATGCAGCATTAGTATTATTGTCATCAAATTGTTTTAGTAAGTAATTTTTCCATTCATTTTAAAAACACGACTACAAGCTACATAAAAATTTAGATTCATAAGGCAAATAATTTACAGACAGAAAACGTTATGAAGGAGGTTGCCTACAATCACATGCTCGCTAAATACATTCCTACCTGCCTTGGCTGATCGCTTAGGGTATCTTCCGAAATACGATCAATGCACTCAATTGCTCCTTTATTTCAGTTTTGTGATGGGGGGGGGGAAGTTCCTGTCCCTTATGGTTACAATGAAAATCCCAAATGCGTTAAGCAAATTTAACCACTACTACACCCCACTGAAACTGCGTAAGTACCAAGGTTGACACACATCCTATAACTAATGCTCAGACGCCTATACGGTTTTTTTTCCTGCTGGAGGAGATAGGCAGGTACATTTAAAGCGGGGAGACAATGCTCTGGGGAAAAAGCAAAGACCAAGGCTGCACAACGCCCGCGGTACCTCAGCGCCGGAACGACCACCCG